TGCAGCAACAGCAGCAATGAAACTTATAAGTGCAGCAGCTGCACACGCCTGGTAGCCTAATTTTTTTTTTGAAAAGTACAGAAAGAGGGAGAATGCTGCTGCCTGGAGCTGTGACACCTCAGCAGCAAGNCTGCTGCTGCTGCTGCTGCTGCTGCTGCTGCTGCTGCGCTGCGTCTGTAGACGAATGAGCTGCAACGGGTGGGGAGGGGCGGCACCGGCTAGGAGGGAAGGAGAAGTCGTGCGGACGCAAATCAGCAGCAGCAGCTGCTGCTGCTGCACTGCAGCAGCAGCTAGCTGGCAGCAGCCAGTGACTCCCAGAAGCGGGGATGAACATGCACTGTATGTACACTGTCTTCGGGGGTGGGGGGCGCAGCAGCCGCACGAGAGGCTGCAGCAAGCGAAGTACTGCTGCTGCTGCCTTTGCTGCTGTGCTCCTGGCAGCGCATGCAGCAGCAGCAGGGACTGCAGCAGCAACAGCAGCAGGTTGTAAGGCAGGCGGGCTGGCAGCAGCAGAATACTCCAGCAGAGCAGAGTGTTGCTGCTGAAAGTTGAATATTCTGCTGCTGCTGCTGCAGCTGCTGCAGCTGCTGCAGCGGGGGCAGAGCTTCAAGCAGCGCGCAGCAAGGGCCTTTGCAGCAGCAAAGGTCTTCGTCAGTGCAGCAGCAACATGAGCTCGTCGCCGCTGCTGCTGCACTGGCAGCCACAGCTCCACGCCTGCTGCTTCCCCCTCTAAACCACAAACATTTGCTGCTTGCTGCTGCAGCAGCGGCAGCGACCCCAGCGGTGGCCGTACGAGGGAGCGCAGCAGGAACAGCACCAAGCGTAAACCAAGAGACTGCTTCATCAAAACCTGCTGCTGCTGCAGCTGCTGCTGCTGCTGCTGCTGCGCATGGTTTCCTTGAAAAGGCAGCAGCAGCAGCGCCACTGCATGCAGCTGCTGCAGTGCAGCAGCGCATGCAAAAACATCCGAAGAGCTCGCAAGCTGCAGCCCAGCGAGAGGCAGTCTCTCCTCTTGTGTACTGACGCCCCACAAGCCACTGCTCATGCTGCTGCTGCTGCTGCCTGCTGCTG